CCTCTGGCAGACCGGRCACCCTAAGTTGGGAAAGCCAGTCAGTAAGTCAGGTAGAACAAGAAGAGGAGGAAAGATATGAAGAATATAATGAAGGTAACCWGGGCAGGCTGAGCGYACCCTTAAGTTAGGGCGGCTCGGTCCTATGCTCGTAATAAGACAAAGGATCARCGAGTWRGTATAAATTTGTTCTATTTTCCCTTCTAAACACAAGGCAGGGTTGGATGTCTCCCTAAGTTGGGTAGRTCTGATCCTCTGCCTAATAAGAGAGAAACACATATARTCTGTGYATGTATCAATGRTTGTTTTTATATGATTGTCGTTACGGAGTCTAAGCGTACCCTTAAGTTAGGGCGGCTTAGTCATACGTMATTGTACTTTSTTCAGACAGTTCMTGTCTTATGTAACTATACTGTTCARGCCAGYCAGGCGTACCCTTAAGTTAGGGCGGCCTGGTGATAGGCTCTTGTCGTTAACGTGATGTAGGTTGGACRTACCYWTAAGTTAGGGCGGTCTGACCATTCGTYGTTTGCGCTGGTTCTGTAGGTTGGAYGTGCCCTTAAGWTAGGGCRGYCTGACCAGTYGTCGTTYGTGCTTGTTCTAGGCAGGTTAGGCACACCCCTAAGTTGGGGCAGTCTAATCCTATGCCCTATGTAACTTTGTGTAAAGCTGGCTAGACATACCCTTAAGTYAGGGCAGTCTAGCTTTACGCTTCATGTCGTCAGTTCAAGCAGTAGYCAKGCGTACCCTTAAGTTKGGGCGGTCTGGTCACATGTTTTATGTCTAGAGTTTATTTGGAGTTGGGCMTACCCTTMAGTTAGGGCARTCCAGTTGTGCGTACTTTTACTTGTTTACTTAGGCARGTTGGACATACCCTTAAGTTAGGGCCTTGTMTGATCCTATGYCATAAGTGAGGGGGCCTACAAAGGGAAGAACCGAAAGACTTAATGAMCKACTTGGACGAATTGATGTGGGACTGTGAGAGGTGCATRTGTATGTATGCTCGTGGACTCTCACTTGGGTGTCCTTCGATARGGTAGTTGCTGTAAATGCTCRCYAAGTGYTGGAGYCATAGGTAGGCWAGATGGATGATGGGAGRGAAACTTSGGATGAAGGTAGGACTGACCSTGCTGGGAGTTRGGCYCAGTGCTAGCCCACAGCCTCAGTTAGAGGTTGTGTTGGTTGTCATTGAGCCTKAGTYGTCARSCAGRTGTCAGAAGTTAGTCCCAAGTGTAGTTGCTTTSTCTTTCTGTTTTTTCAGCTTTGTATAAATCTTGGTAGCCTCTTGTTCCTACGRGAAGCGCTGCCGAAATTTTTACAAATCTAAAAGAGTTAGTYATTTTTGGGCTCTTCAAAATTCTGAAAAGACAYTTTTCYTACGGGAAGCGCTGCCGAAATTTCATKAAATTTGGGGAGTTATAATATTTTTCAGTTAGGAGTTACTTAGCAGATCCTAACTGATTAGAGGARGTGTTCAACTAATTGGTACTAGTAGAGGARCTAGAGTACGACTAAGTGSAATGATCTCCCCTTGGCACAAACGTAAGTAGTACTCTTCGTTGGCCTRTGCTGTGATGCAGGTTGTTGTGCTATCACTTGAGAGCCTGATCTGATCAGGYCATTCMTTCARAGAGATTATTCCTCTGTTRTCACTGATAACAGGTCGGTTGCCGATTCGTCGGTCTACGACTCAACCCCAATTCACCGTCAATACTCAGCCTAAAAAACCTTTAGCCCTGGTGATTTTATCTGTTTTGTTAAGGTTCACCCAGACTTTTATTGAATGACCATTTAACAGAAGTACTSAGTACTTACTTATGGTTGGTTGGCTGAAGGCTGGGGCTTGCATGGCTAAAGCAAGGGGTATGAGTGGAGAGGTTGGTTGGAGTTGACCCCGTGTAGTGCGTGGATTTTTGTTTGATTCCGTGATGTGATTGCAGGTATGTATGGAAGAGTCTCGATTAATGCATGTTGAGTGGTATTGAGTGGGCTCAGATGGGCAAACCACACAATTGTCGTGAGAGCGAACTACCCCACAACCTTTGTGTTTGAGTAAGAGTGTTCTACCCCCGTTCTGCTGCAGTAATAATTTGAGTGGGCATGCATCCGGGTAACCCCTACAGGGCTAACCCTGGCGCTGGTTTTCTAATGATATTAAGGCTA